CTTCCGATATCTATCAAACATCAAATAACAGAAGCAAAACGTTACCTGGTTGGTTACATATATATATATGTATATCAGCGGTATGAGGAAATCATACATTGAAACTCGCGGAGAGGACTTTGCTGCTGAACCCGTCGAAGTAAGATTGTTGAAATTCGGCTGCAGCCGGGAAGAACACCTGGATATACAAATCAGGGATTAGTTTCTTACACATGTAACAGCTTCTGTAATGAGAAGGGTTTTTCTTTTTAATGTCGAAAATGAACAATATGAACCTGGAAGCTGCCCGGGATGTTGACGGGGACGAAGATAGCAGCGAGGCGGAGAGGCTCATCGTCGCCGGTGTTGGCCACATAGTGTGTGGTTCCTGCTGGCATTCTCACCACATGACCCTTCTCTATGTGGAACGTTTCCTTTTCCTCTTGTGTCAAAAACATTGCCACTCCCTTTCCTATGTATACACACACACACACACACACACACATATATATATATAATCAGTTTTGAGAAAATTAAACGAACTCATACTAATTAGTATATAGATTATATATGTATATATATACCTTGGAGGACAACAAAGACAACATCCGCGTCAGGGTGGTGAGGCTGCACAAATGTTCTAGGAGCCATCTTCAAGAAAGCGAAGCGGTAGTTCTCTATGCCTCGAAACAGCCATGATCGACTTGTGAAGCTCGGCAACAGCTTCATGAACCCTTCCTTCGACCTTAGCAATGTCTGGAAACTCCTCTGTCCGAAGTAGAACGGATGCTCCCATCCTCCCACGCCTCCGGCGTGGGGCTGTGGCGGGAACTCGTCCTCCGCCACCGTCTCCGGCGGTACGACGCGGTGGCTGTGGCCGGAGGCTAGGGAGAAGAAGAGGAGGGCTATGGTTATGGTGAGGAGATTGTTCCGCGTCATCGCCATTTCTTGTGGTCTCTCTCTGTGTGTGATTGAGTGTTTTCTTTTTCTTTTTTACGTATTTTAATTTTAGGGAATGAAAAAGAAGAAGATGATGATGCATGTTTTTATAGGTACGAGTGAATGCCATGCAAGGTGACGAGTGTGATGGACAGCAAGCCGCAAAGAGACACTCGACAATCATGATACAAGATTCCATTTTTTTTTTCTCGACACCCTTTGGCTTTTTTTTTTGTATCATAATATGTATATATACACACACATACATATATATGAGTTTGTGATAACAACAGAATGCAATACTGACAAAACCTAGATGATGAGTTCGGATGAGTAAATTGAGCAGATAAATACGGGCAACACTTGGCTTCATGGGTTACGGACAATATGCGTACGAAGGTCCGATGTTCGATTACGTGGCACACACGTATATGACATGTGTATCATTGAATATGCGACCTCACACTATATAATGTGGTTTCACCCCTATCCATATATGAAAAGAACCATGAATGATTTATTTAATCATTGTAGCCAATTGGCATCATTAGGAATTAGGAGTTATAGTGTTGAAATAGAAGTAAAATATGGAGTTTAGATCTGATTTATAACAATTAAAGGTTTACTATTAAATAAAAATAAAATATATTTATGTCAATTATATTTTATATTATTTGTTTCTCTGATATTTTTATTTATTTTTTAATAATTTTTTCATATGTAAATTATTTTTTCATTGAAATATAATAAAATATATAATAATAAAGTTGTTCCAACCTTTTTCTCTTTCATTTTTTTTTATTTTCCGCATTTTGTTTTCAATAAATAGTACGCTATTAGTTTTTATAAACTCTAAATCTCCATGTCTTCACCGTATCTATTTATTCTATGAAAACTAAATGTTTTACATAAATAATTAGAGGAAACGATAATACTACAATACTTTAAAATGTTGTATTTTATTTAATTCCGAAGTTACGAAATGAAAACGTAATGATCAATATAATTTTGTCCTTTGGAGCCCAAAACCATACAGACCCGCAAGGGGCCGAACCCTATTCATGTGTAACTTTTGAACTGTTCAAAGACATAATTCTCCTTCAAATATACGGCGAGTCTAATTTGTGACCATATCTTAGAGAAAACCCGAAACTCAGCTTAAATTTAATTTTTATTTCTCAATCTAGTCACAATTGTGAAGAATTTAGTTTCCAACGAAAAAAATGTGATGTATAATATATCCGACACAATTTCTATCGATTATTGTCGCAAAATATATCGTAATATGACATGGAACTATAAATAAATCATTCTAGTCTAGAATATTTAATAGTTATCTCCAGTCTAGTTGCAATCAACAAAGAAAACAAGTATATATGTATATGTATATGTATATGTATATGTATATGTATATGTATATGTATATGTATATGTATATGTATATGTATATTTCAGACACCAAACACAACAAACATACAAGGTCTAACAATGTTGTCTGATCATAAGAAAAAAAAAACTATATACACAAAAACATAACACATAAAACTCCTGTTCGTTTCAAAACAATCACACTTAATTCCCAAAACATCGATTTATAAAGCCCATACTCACGTCAATGCATAGATAAATCTTCCGTGGTATAACCGAAAGCAGAAAACCTAATTCGTACGTACGGTTTTTTTTAATCTTATGTCTTCCGCACGGTCAAGGAGCCTTGTAATGCGGCGGTGGCGGCGGCGGCGCGGCGGCGGCGGCGGAGGCGGAGTGGTGCAACAGAAGGAGCCGCAATCGATAGGATAAGTATAGAAACTCTTGCATTCGCCCAAAGACCGTTGCGTTGGTCGGTGAGGGAGACAGTTTTTTCGGTCGTCGAAGCTCCAGAGCTTCAGACAAGCCGTCGGTTCGCCTGAGAAGAAGTTGTAAGAGTACGTAAAGTTCTCGAGCTTCGGCAATGTACATATGCTCTTTGGAATCTCGCCGGATAATTTGTTATGCGCAACGTTCAATTGCTCCAAGCTCTTCATACTTCCCATCGTCTCCGGCAATGGGCCTACCAAGTAGTTGAAACTCACGTCGAGAACTGTTAACTGGTCAAGGGAACCGATCTCCCGGTTAAGACAACCGGTAATCCGGTTATTCGAGAGAATCACTTCGTTCAACGTTTTCCCCATTTTGTAAAAACTCGGAGGTATACATCCCCGGATATCGTTGTTGGCTATGACAAGAACCGATATCGGGGAGTTACCGATGTTTTCGGGTAAACTAAACTGGAACTTGTTGTTGTTTATGAATAAAGCGTCGAGCTTTAAGTCGAACGCCTCCTTAGGAACATCGCCGTGGAGCTTGTTGTACCTTATGTCGAGAAACTTCAAAGAGGGCAACGAGAAAACGACTTCGGAGGGGAAACCGCCAGAGAATTCGTTGTTGCTCACGTCGAGCTCGTTGAGAAGCCGGAGATACTTTAGTGTTTTTGGTAATTTGCCATGAAAACGGTTAGAATTGAGATGGAACAAGGCAAGGTCGTTCAAGAGACCGAGTTCTCGGGGAAGAGAACCGGCAATATTGGCACGGTTTAGGTCAATTCCAGCCACGGTTAAGGTAGAAGGATCGTCGGGTGCCGGAGCACAGAATACACCGGTATAGTTACAAACATTCGGACCACACCATCCGGCCGTGAAATTATTCGGATCAGACGTTATGAGACGTTTCCACGCTTGAAGAGCCGTGTAGGCTTTCAAGAGTCTAGGGTTTGTGATGTGTGGAAACCAAGAATCACACTCGGAACATGAGTTAATCGGGGGAGGAGATGAAGGAGGAGGAGAAGTGTAATTAGATGTTTGGTGGGTCGGTCCCGCCAAGAAGAGGAGGATAAAAGCCGTGGCCACGGCCGCCACGGCCGAGGAGGAGGACGGCAAGAACCGGCATGGAAGAAATAGGCTTAGGCCGGTGAGGTTTTGCAACGTTCTCATGAATGAATGAATGAATTGAGGAAGAGCTTTGAGCTTGCTTGTTTGTGTCGTGAAAATGGAGGAAAAGGGTGTGTGAGATTTTATGATAAGTACGTGGCCACAACCACTCCTCGTTGACAAAATCATGGTTCGTAGGGTGATGAACATTGATATAGTCAAGTCTTTGTTTTGCTTTGGCTTATTTTAATCTGTATGGTTTTTATTATATGGTGGTAATACAAATTGATGGACTGACAATAAAGTCTTTCGAGTTTTTCAATTTGACTTTTCTTTGGTTTGGCCGTCGAGGAGGTAAATTACAAGGAATGTTCTTAGACATATCCATAGACAGTCGAACAACTAGACATAGTTTTCTCGTAACATAATATTCTATCTTATTGAACTTAAATAATAATAATAATAATAATAATAATAATAATATGATGTATATTCCGCATGAAAAGTAATGTTTATTTGTTAATTTATATTATTCTGATCGTCCATATCCTGCAAATACAATGAGCTTGGCGGTTGGCTATAATATAAAGATATTGACTTCGTTCCATATATGTGTAATTGGAAGAAGGAAGTGCGAATGATAATTATGTATAAGATGATTATATGTATATAACAGTTTCAGAATCTTTCGGTATACAGATCGATGTTTCTCCATTAACAAAACCAAACCATTTTAAGCACCTTTGTAATTTTCAGACAATTGGTTACAGTGGCGGATCCAGAAACTTTTTTAAGTGGGGGCAAAGATTATTATATATATAAATAAAAAAAATTAATAAAAATATATCATCATAAAATATTTACCAAATTCTATATTTTTTATTTTTTAAAATTTATCCATAATAGCTTTATGTATAACTATTTAAAACTTATATTTTGTGGGAAACAAATTAGACAATTATTTAAATTGTCTATTATGATATTCAAGATTAATCAAATTAAAAAACTTATCATCTTCTATCAAATTGTCGGTATAGATATTAAGTTCACGTCTAATATACATTTGTTTTAAATAACTGAAATTATCACGATAAAATTCACACAATTTCACTAAATTTGACATGTTAAACTCGCACAATAAATTAACAAAACTCTATACTGTCATGCAAATGAAAAGTTTTGAATTTAACTCGTCAAAAAATGATCATTAAGTTCCTGAAGTTGTAAACCTATAGTAATATAAAAAAATATAACGGGTAATAATGTAAATTGTTTAAACTTTTTTTATTTTATCTTTTTGAATCTACGTAATTTTTTTTATATTGATAATTCCAATATCGTTTTTTCGCAAAAAAATACATTTTATTTAAAAGTGAATCTCATCCAATATCTCTTTATTGTTATAATTATTATTTTTATATATTTCACCAATTAAATTTAGAAACATATGAACAAATAAAAAATAAAAATGATTAAAATATAATCATAATATTTAGATATCTTTAATATTATTATTTTATTTTTTGTGTTTTGTCTATATTTTGTTAGAAAAAGAGGGAAAAAATAAAAAATATATATAGAAAATAAAGAGTAAAAACATGGTAACCGCGTAACCTAAAAAGAAAAAAGAAAAACAATTTTTTTAGAAAAAAGTAAATAAAAGAACGGGAGAGGAGGTGAGGGTGGGGGCAACCACAAAAATCAGATGGGGGCATTTTTTTAACTTTGGTTATAATTTTATAAAATCTATAAATAAATTGTATAATTTTAATTAGGTGGGTGGGGGCATAGGACCCCACTCCAATACACGTAGGTCCGCCCCTGTGTGTATATATATAAGCATGAACTAACGTATGTGAATGCTACTTTACAATTTCTTATTAATAACCACTTGAGCTTTTTTATTTCCCGTTTGTTTATTAATGGATTTCATTTATTCACGGTATTGCAATGATTTTGCTTTGTTACGGAAGTTTCGAGCTCTTGGTATGGTTAGGTTCACATAATTTTAGATTTAATTTTTTTCATTTCATTAAATAATACCTTTTTTCGATTATTTTTATATTTCATTTGAATATTTTTTTAAAATTAATTTTTAAAACAAAATATGATTAATAAATAATTAAAACATATATGATTTGGATATATATTGATATGGAATAAACCTAGACACATTGAATTGGTGAGCTTAATTGATACTATAGATGATAAGGCGATCAAATATCTCATAATCTCTAAGAAAATACGAAGAGATGATATCTGTGGTTGTAGATCCGATGTGTTACGAGACCGACAGACATGGCCATATTTTTAATTAAGTAATGTTTTCTATTTTATAATTAGCTTTAATTAATTATTTTATTACAAAACTCTGTTTTTTTTATTAATCTCAAAAACCCAATTTGCCGTAAAAACCAATCAGAGTTTTATTTATCAAATCCCACTGGCATGTGGAAAAAGTCGACACGGAGAGAGGGTCCAAATAACCTTTTTAAAATTTGTCTGGTAGGTATTTAATTTTTCATTATACACCTTAAAATAATATATATATATATATATATATATATATAAAATGTTATTCGATTTTCTTAGTTCAAGAACTGTATGCGGAAAGTTAAAACATGAGGTCGCACGGAAATACATTTTTATTACAAAACCATCAAATTATCATATTTTATCAACTTTTTTTTTCTTCTTTTTTCAGGTTGGGATCACGAGAGAATGCATTTGTCCGAATACAAAATACGAAATGTATTAAAAAAACCGTACGAGCGATTAAAAATTCAATTACGCGAGTCATAAAATGATACTATATCGTAATGTGCATATTAAATCTAAATATCTTGTGGTCTAAATCAAATAAGAAATCTAAACATATGTTAATATAATTAAGGATGTTTATTCAATCTTTATAAAATTTCAAGAATAAATGTGTTGCATCGACCAAAAACTGAAATTTGATTGATAAAAAAGAGTAATATTGAAACCTGTAAATGATCACGAACCATTTCGTATAATCTTTTAATTTAATTTTCTAATTGTGTGTAGATAATAGATAAGTTATAACGTGCAAATTATCTCGAGGCAATCAATACAAAGAATATAAAGAGTCCTAAATAATAAAGATAGAATTTAATGCTGGACCTAATTGCTTCTAACAGAAGCCAATGATGGTATTCCATAGATGAATAAAACGATTCATTGAATTCAATAATCGATAGATGTTAATTTTTTTTTGGGTAACCAGGTTTTCTGGGCCGAGGCCCAGACTAATCCCGGGACCGGAAGCAAGCCATGTGATTTGAATTATGCGCTCCCTCCCCAGTCTGGGTTCGAACTCTGGGCGGGACAGACGCTTTGCGTCCCCGTTTCATCGGTTGAACTATCCAGGTTGGGTTCGATAGATGTTAATTACACATATAATCGGATATTATTTATCCAATCTATAACCATATTATACGTATAAAGTGTTTTTCAACGGAGATAAGAAATTTTTTTAATGGGGCTTGATTTCTACTTACATTACACGTAAGAATTCTTGATTTGGTCACTTCAATCAATTTCGTCCCCATGTTTGGTGCGTCCGTTGTAATCTCTGAATCAAACGCATCCATTTATACAGATGATTAACAGACGAACCAAACATTCCCAGGAATTCAATTGAAAACGAGGATAAATAAATAAATCAAAAGAAAAAAGATTTCAAGAACAAATACGGGTCCCGACACTTGACAGTTATATATTAGTGGAATCCTTCATCGTCTTGAAACTCTTGTCTGATGCTGTTTTATAAACTCGAAGTCATCGTTTCTTCTGTTCGTCTCCTTTTGAATCAATCTTCCAAATTCATTATCTGTTTCCATGAGCCTGCAAACAAAACTAAGGCATATTAGCTCAGAAATCTTCCAGATGTTTCACGTTTCTTGGAAAAGAAGCAACAGCCTCCAAACTTCAACTCACATCTCCTGCAACAAGAGATCTGCAGTAGTTTGTGTTGGTCATTACAGTACTGGTGGATCCGCATTCACTTTCCTTGACCGATACGTTAGATCTATCTAGCTTAATCGCCATCCATGGATAGTACTGATTCTGATGATGTTCTTCATGATGATGATCCTTAGAACCCAGATGAGACGACGATCTCTGCATCCGAACAGCCCTTGGGACGCCGTTTCTAGAACTTTCCATCGAAACCCTTCTTCGCCCGCTCGGCTGGCGCTCGTATAGTTCGGGAGGCCTCTGCTTTGGTGCACTATGAGACCGTACCTTCGCCCGGGAAGACTTTGTATTCGCCATATAGTTTGGACACAAAGAGTATTCGTAAGAAGAAAGAGAATCCCCATTAGAGTAATCTTTGAATCTGAAACACTGAGGACTGTTCTGTGCAGTGGTGAATGAGTTATAGTCCTCGAAGTGTCCACTATACGCTCGAGGAGTCATCTCCGTTATGGCTGAAGAAGCTGCTGGGGAGTACTGATGGAACATCTGCTCGTGTTTTGACGAGAAATTACGAATTGGGTCATTGGAATATTGTTCAGATCTCATGTCCATCTCCACGATCTTGATGTTCTCCTCATTCTCCTGCAGAGAGAAGAGATAACAGTCAGAATCTGCATTGTTTCTGATACGGGTTTTCTTTGTTGGATTCCAGAGTAAAGATTTTTTGTTTTCGGGTACGTGGTAAATGTTCTTGATCCGGTTTTCTTGAGACGATTTCCTGTGAGTCGAGGATCTTGGATTCGAGGGTTTTGTCTCTTCGATCATACGGATCATCCTCTGTTCCCGAGCCTTTGCTTGTAATGTGATCAAAGCCTGCATACAACGTAGCGTGGCCGTGGCTTGTTTCCTCACCAAATGCCCCCTCACCAGTGCCTGCAACTTCACTAACCCTTTTAACGCTCTTAACGCCTTCCTGGCCTGCCCAAGAAAAAAAAAACTTTTTTTTTTACCATCGGAAAACCATGATTCACCGATATGGGTAATATATAAACGTTATCCGTTAAAAAAAAAAAACCCGTTAAATCCCCGTGTATACACAATTGCTATAATACCCTTTAGTATTTTACCAAGTAAGAACGGAAATACGCCTGAATTCTCAAGGCCGCAGCCTCTTCCACCGCGGCTGGCATCC